TACCTATCTTCTCCCTTTTCGAAAAACTGATATTTTCACATGTGAAAATAACATGTTATTTTCACATATGAAAATATCGTTACCATGTGTATTTAAGCCATTAGTTTATAAATAAAATCTTTTTTATAATGAAAAAAAGCTTATTAAGTTGATTTTATGGATAATTATATAATAAACAGAATATTACATGGGCGCTTGGAGATAAGAAATTTATCTTCTCGTGTTGAAAATCTCTCACTCGTTCGCTGCGCAGCGCCCATGTAACATCCTCTATATAATCGCATTAGACTAAGAATATCAAACTCAAGACTAATCTGGATTTAAATTGGCATATGAGACTCAGTAGATGGCTCGATCCTTCCTCATGGAACCAGACGCGCGAAAGAAAAATGTTTTCGCGAAAGGTTTAGCAACTTACAGGCAAGAAGATCGATTTTCTTTGTTGCACAAAGCTAGTAAAAAGTTTCCCCTACTCTTTGCAACCAATAAAATCTATTGAGTGGGCGAGACGTGGTAAGTAAACACAAACTACGTTGCAACACTCTACAATGGCACTTATAATGAGAAAGTGAGTCATTTTTAGTATCTAGTTTTGGGAGCTACTACGTAATAAAGTGTATTGATTGATCAGTTGATCGAGCTACAAGAACTTGCAGCCACACCTGAAAATGAAAGATTTCCAAGCATTTTCAAAAACATGTAATCTTTGAAATATTTAGTTGCATGTAAAATAGAGTTGGAGTAAGATTCATAGTTGATGGAATAAAACGTAGCCGGTTTGATTAGGGAATGATAGATCGTCGCACATGAGAAAAATTGGTAGGCTATCGCAGATCTCATGATCACTATCTAAAGCCCCGTTTACACTAGCGATTTTTTTGCGATTTTTTTTTGCGATTTTGTCCATAATAAATAATGGTAAAGAATTTACTTGTAAAGTTTTTTTCAGGATGCCAAGATTTTCCTAGACGAATGTCTCTTTTGAAGGATGAGACAAAATATTTCATATTTCCGAAAATTGCCACAAAAATCGCAGCAAAAATCGCCAGTGTAAACGGGGCTTAACTTTCTGTCTGTCTCTTCCATAGCTCTTGCTTTTTTTTGTCTCTCCTCCAGTCTCTCCAGCTTATGTGAATGCATTTATAAATGTATTTCAAATGAACCATCATCTGAAGAAACACAATCATTCACCATAAGTTTTAATATAACAAATGAATACTTGACCTTCTAAACCAATATGGTTGCCGTGTTGTTTCAAACTCTTCAACCAAAACGTATGGTTATAGATTGAGAACGCAAATGAAATAAATCGTAATTTGCCTTTTCCAAAGGTTATCTCTTGGCTTAGTCAGGATATTCAAACTGAGTACAAAATAATTAATACACGCTGAAATAGATAGATAGTTCAGTTATTATATACGCAGTATGGTTGCTTCTGTCGAGCTTGCACAATGCCTTAAGGTAAGCGTTAATACAGACAATAGTCTTTTGCAAATATTGTTGCGCAACATCACAAATTACTTGTTTTTTTAATGTAGTATGAGTCGTACTTATCTCATTATTATAAACTAGAACCGGTTTTATGATATTCCAACTATCAGTGTCACTTAAAGCCGGATCACGTACGACATTATCACGATACTGACGCATTTCGGTCCTTTTTTGAAGCCTGCAGGGTGCTTCCAATGTTTTCTTTCCAAAGACATAGTTTCCTAATAGTTATCGAATGATAAAACGCGTAAACGATAAAGTACAATCACCAGTGTTATTTGAGCTGCCGTTTCTGTATAAACACAAACATTTTACACAAAATTTTGCGTTTGAAACTTCTGTGTTGTGTCGCATCGTTTTGGCTATCGTGAGCATTGAACCTGGAGAAACTCTTACTCTACTCACATGTGATGCAGCGTCCAGGAACAGAACCTCGGAAGGCGAGAGATGACTGCACTACCCGTACGCCATTAGGTTGATCTCGCGGTGTGGTTGATGGGAAGGATTTAATGTCGAGTTCGCGGTGTATCAAAACGTAAGTGCGAGTCAGGCTATCCTCGATTCCCGATCAATTCTCGTGATCAGCATTGTGTCGTCAACATTTTATACTAAGCTTTCACTTCCTACGAACATTAAAAAAATAGCGGCAGATTGAAAAGTTTGTTTTGTGTTAGGATAAAGTTTCCATCAATAAGAGAATTTCCTTCCTCATTTGTGATAGACGTCATTCTTTTTTTACAGCCATTCTCAATCACGCGCCCTCTAGCGATTGTTTCTGTCGCGACGAAGAAGATTTTGGTGGACGTCATTCACAATGCGTTTCCATAACATTGTCGGAAAACAAAAAACTATAAGGGCACGTGCCTATAGAATGTCATGGAAACGCCTTGATTGACGTCCACCAAAACCTTCTTCGTCGTTACAGAAGCAATCGCTAGAGGGCACGTGTGATTGAGAATGGCTGTAATTTCCTGAACGAGCTTCAGAAAGTTTTTTCCCCGCGAGCTTCAACTTTTCCTTTCCTCTATCTTTTAAAAAAAATTATGTATCTCGTGAATCTTAATTATATGAGTTTAGCTGCACTAGATGTTCAAAGATGTTGATAGTGGAATACAATTTTTTAGGGAGATTATGACTTGATATACGATTTTCAGACTTGGGAAATGGGGAACGCACCTCAGAAAACCACACAGAACCAAGACGTTTGTGGGTTACATTGATCCAGTGTGTATGTGTGTGTAAACTGCTTACTATTTTCACCCCTAAAGCAGCCATGAAACGAGTACGCGCGGAATGTTATCATGACTTTCTGTGTGTGATTCTTAGGTGAGAAGCATTATGAATGCCCCCGGGTCAGCAGTTGTCTATTTAAGCGAGAAAATCCAAGGTTTCGACCTCATTTGCTCAGGTTCGCCGTACCAGTCAGTCTAGACGAATTTTTGACCCCAACCACCTCCCCTTCGGCGACGTTTCTCCATTATAGCAGTTCAGTCCGGCAGCTTAATCACAGCCTCGGCAAACTCGTGTTCCCAAAACTGAACCACGTCTATGAGGTGAATGGCTGCTTTGGCGGTAAAACAATGATATACCATAGTAACCATATTTTTGTCTTATCCTATAGCCCATGATTTAACGGCTGCATGCGATTTTTTCGTTTTCTCTTTTGTTGGCCTAATTATCGCCATTACCTTGCGTTTCCAAAAAGTGTTCAATAATTTGGAGAAAGAAAAAAAAAAAAGAAAAAAAAAATTACTGAGGATAGGATCATTTTGATATTCATGGTATGAGAGAAATTAGTGATTATATTTCCCCGAATAACGAGGGAAATTTCGTGTGGAATAAAACAAAAATAGAATCTAAAAACAAGTTGTCATTTTCAATCTTCCTTTATCTTATGACTGAGCATGCGCAGATTTGAGAACGCGTCCCACATGGAAACCGTGCAGCAATATCATAATTAGGATAAGTTGCAATCGATTCAGTTGCAGGGGCATTGAGTTGTCCCTGAGGGAGACGAGGCATTGTCTTCTAAATTTCCCTCATGCATAGAAGATTAGGGAAATTTTGAAGACAGTGAGATCCTTTGTCTTTTACTAAATTTCCCTACATTTACAGCCATTCTCATTCACACGCGCCCTCTCATGATTTTTTCTGTAGCGACGAAGGTTTTGGTGGACGTCTATCACAAGACGTTTCCATAACATTGTCGGAAAACTGAAAGGTATAAAGGCCTATAGAATGTCATGGAAACGCTTTGATTGACGTCCACCAAAATCTACTTCGTCGCAACAAAAACAATGGCTAGAGGACGCGTGTGATTGAGAATGGCTGTAATATATGCGACAGGGAAATTTAGTAAAAGACGAAGGATTTCTTGAAAATCAACATGTGAGATGTTGAGTGTTGTGTGCATAGAATACTAAATGCAGTGGTAGTGTGTGTGAGCGAAAAGTGTCCCCAATTAGTGCGAAAGCGCTAGAACGACTAGACACTTAAATAAAGTGATTTATTTTATTTTATTTTGTTTTCTAAATTTCCCTCATGTTCTATGCATGCGGGAAATTCGGGTTTGTAAAGCCCTCAGAAGACAAAAGAATCCGAGGTGATCATGGTATTACAAGATGTAACCAATGGGAATGAAAAGTTACGTTTAGATGCTGGCATTAACCAGTTAATTGCAGGACACACGGCTATAGGAAAATTAATGCAGGTGATGCTGTACGGCAACCACAACTATCGAACCGAATTCTTTTTGAGGTTATTTTTGTCCTACATTGTATTCTAGTTATGAATTTAAACTCAAGAACAGACCCATTAAGGTAGATTAATCTAATTACAAACGGAAAAGGATTTGATTGTTTTGCTATTTTACTGAAGGATTTTTCTTCAAAACACGTGTTACTTTGATGTTTACGACACTTACTCCGTCTAGTCTGCTATACAAGTGCACAATTATTTGCCCAAAATTTAAAAAAAGTACATTTTTCAAAAGATCAGTTTCCCAATAGCTATTGACTGTAATAAGATTTAGAGAGACGGTACATGATGAAACGCGCAGTTTTTGTGCATGCAGCATTGCTCGGTTGAATTTCACGTAAGATTTATTTTTAGTTTGGTGTGTCGACCAACATGGGGACCGATTCTGTTTGTTGCTAGCTCATTCTCTAGGGAATTACTATAAAGGGAGATCTCATAGGAAGCGARTGTTCAGAGAGCAACCTCATCAGTCCAACCACGGGATCAAATAATCTCTGGAATCGTTTTTCTCTCTCCGCAAAAACCAGCTTCTAAATCCTAATAGATTCTGTGGATAATGAGCTATTCTGTGGAGACACAAATGCTAATTAAATACCTTTTTGGTTCAACTTCTTGATCTTTCAGTCAATTTGACTTGGACGATTGTAAACCACAGAATTGTGCCAAGGTGCATCCTGGGTACGCCCTATATCCCAAAGATCTATTTTTAGTATCATTCATCAAATGATAGCTTATTTTGATTTATTTTGTAGACCACGTACTATTGAGAGCATAAACCTCACTGGCGGAGCTTGTCAATCAACAGGAATTAAAGAAACCCCAAAAGATTAAGAAGATAAGAGATATAGGTGTTACGACACGCTCCTGTGATTTGTGATTGGCCATCACCAAGGAGAGTAAATTTACCATACGCATCCTGGAAGGGCAATAAAAATAATGCTATCACTTAGCTGGCTTTTCACTTTGTTGTTCTGTAGTTAAAGGACGTTATTAATCAAGAATCTTGAAGAAACTGGTAATATCACACAAATGTTTTATCCCATCAACATGACTTCAATGGCCAACGTATCAGACGTGAACACTAGCGTCCCGATCGAGCAAGCAACACACGAAACTTTAGAATTCAAAGTCGTGAAGATTATTTTTTATTGTATTATTTTGACTTGCAGTACTATTGGGAATGGTCTTGTTATTTATGTTATCAAGGCTAATGAACGAATGAGGACACCTTCGAATATCCTAGTGTTAAACCTCGCCGTCTGTGACCTTGTTACTCCTCTCATAAGCATCCCGTTTGACTTCGCCGTAGAAGAGAATGGTTATGCCTGGATGTATGGTGGGTTCATGTGTAAGATTCTATGGCCAGGAGCAACGCTGTCGACTACGTCCTCTTCTCTTACTTTAGCAGCGATCTCCTTCGATCGATACAGAGTCATTATGCATCCGTTTAAATCCAAGTTAAGCATGGATAAAATCAAGATCATTATCTTTCTTATCCATATGTTTTCGATATTCGTTATCACTCCGTATATCTATGTACTGCGTTTACAAGGAAGTCATTGCTACGAGAATTGGCCTGGATACGAGTACCGCCAAGCCTATACATTGTTTCTTTTCTCGGTACAGTATTGTATCCCTTTGATATTCATGACAATTATGTACACCTTAACATTGAAAAGTCTTTTCTCAGCGTCCGTCAAGACTTGGGTCATGCGCAAAGACCGCGTTGAAGAACAACCAATCACAAACAACCAGGAAAGCGACGTCTCTGTCACGGATAACGACCATACCCAGAAGAAAAAGAAATGGCGGCTTCTTCAAATCAATCCGCAAGGAGCAAGCGAAGCAAACAAGCGCGCGACAAAGATGTTCATCGTTATTGTCATCGTTTTTGCAACGTGTATGTTCCCAAATCAAGTCGTTTGGTTTTGGTCGGATTTTGACAACGGAATGGCTCATAAGCACTATAAAATCGTCTCGATAATCTGCTGGATTTTTACTTATACGAATAGTGTATGCAACTCGGCTATTTACGCTGTGTTTAGCAATGACTTTAGAAAGGGATTTTACCATGCATATGGGAAATTCTGTTGTAAGGTAATTGAACAGTACGAAGTGAACTCGAAATACCCGGATTATCCCTGTAATCATGTTAGACTGAAGCAACTCAAAGATGAAAAACCGAATGAACCTCAGGTGATAAGCTGACTGGACGGATGAACTTTTGCGATATCCTAAATCTTTGTGATACGATATAAAGCCCCTTAAAGCAATACCCAGTGAAGCTCAGAACAAAACACTGAAATTCATTTCTCAGAAATTCACTAATTTCACTGAAATTCATTTCTCATTACGTCATCCCGGTCTCTTGGGGGAGCGCTAGTGGCATTCAGTGGCGGATCCAGGGGAGGTGAGGGGTGCAGAGGGTGCGCAACCATCCTGGTTCGACTTTGTGCCCCTATACTTCGAAGATAACCAATACGAAATAATGTTTTTCCCCTTTGATCCCAAGGGGTGCACCCCTCCCTGGGTTAACTTTGTGCGCAGCACCCCTCCCTGAACAAATTCCTGGATCCGCCCCTGGGCATTTCACAAAGATTTCTTATTAGCATCCACTGTTAACGGCACAATGGCCGCCATGGTTTTGTCTTTTGACTCTTTTGGGAATGCTTACGACCCATTAATTCTCCGGTTTCGAGATCTCCATTGCTCAGGGTTAGCCTTGACTTTGTGCAGAAAATTTATGTTTTTCAGTGAAGGTCCGTGGAATTTCAAATTGTTGGTATTGTTGGAGTTGTGCATTCTTTACTTTTTACCGTTGGTATTTGTGTATATCATTTTAGACACCGGCACTGATTCTAGGCTAGCCCCTGTAAATAAGGATGTCATCAAGGCAGTATTTTGGAACTCGAAAATGGTCTATTACCGGAGCTGCCTTGGGAGTATGCTTCAGAGGGCTTTAGGTCTTCTCTCTTTCGTATCATCCACAGCGAAATTCGAAAGAATCCTACCTCATGTAGATAACGACTAGTTTTGGAACTAGTTTGGACTGCGTCGGTGTTTTTTAGTTGAAACAAATGTGTCGTAGTGGATAATTTTATCACCGTAAATACGAAAGATAATAGACTGACGTTTCGGACGTTAGTCCTTCGTCGGAGTCAATGAGAGAAAGAGAATGATGGAGGGGTTTATATAGTGGTGTAGGGAGAAAACAAACCAATAATGTAGTATTTACATTTGAGGCCAATAGGTCACTTGCATTATAGCTTCATKTATTATCACTACCATAATCCTTTGCACAATGTCTTTTCATTAATTAATTAGCATCAATATGTCTTACTTTTCTCATGAGGGAATACAAATTTGAAGAGGAAGAAGTGGTAGTAGAATGACGCCATCATGCCGCTGACGGCCTATATATAGACCCCCGCGCGGGTTACCTTCGACGCAATCTTTTCCCATTTCAAACCACTTGTTATTCTCTTGAACATAAGATCTCTCGTTTGAGTTGTATCCATATTCATGTATCTTCTCATGCTCAACCGTTAAACGAAGAATTGGTTTATAAACATGGTCGCCATTTCATTTCATTTCATTCTCTTTGTAAGTGGCCATGATTTCAAACCTACTTCGGGGCAGGCTGGTCCATTTGTACGCGCCATATGCCAAAGAAAATTTCTACCTAATCCCTATAATATAAATGAGCAAACGTACATTCGACGACTACCATTATACTTTAACATAACATGCTTAAACCTTTTGGGTTTTTTTTCGACTTATATACAAAAGACTGTAAAACAATGTCTTACTTGTTTGTACGATATTCTTTGTTTAGCGTGCGTTGAAAGTTCGGCCAGCCTTGATCCAGCTTCAACGTTTTGCCCTTGACATCCATGGTCGACTACTAGTCATTTGTAATATGGAAATTTCCAATGTTTTTGAATACTTCACGTGAAAATTTAGTAACAATTTTTACTGAATAATACGTTTATTGTTATGACATAGCTAAGTTATATTAAACGCGCGCTCTGATAGGCTCATGCACGTATACACCTACTTGCAAGAACGTTGTCATACGAAAAYAGAACATTAGTGATTTAGTGGAATAGGAATTATATTAAAAAAACAAAAGAATATCACTGAAGCTGAACTTTTTCTTTTGTCTTTTAATGCTTCCTTTCTCACTAAATTACTAATGTTCTATTCTTGTATGACAACCTTCTTGCAAGTAGGCGTATATATATGAAGAAAAAAAATATGGAGCACTCCTCTAGCAACTATTGCATGCCACCATCGTGCTCTCCCAACTATCCGCGGGCACCAAAATAGATTTACGCACGCTAAGTATTGACTATTGCCCAAAAAATTCTTAATATGAAAATTAGAGTAAAAGTACTGAAGTGTGACGTCATCAAATATGTAGTAAGCTCCTAAAATCCCCATGCATTTTCATACATTTTGAACTGTATCCAGCTGATAGTTCCAGGATCCAGCCCTGAATTTAAAAAACCCGAATAATAAAAATCATGGTTTGCTGTGTACATTCACGCTGTAAGCGCACACGAGATGTACACGAATAAGTTTTTCGCGCCGTGAAAAGCACTGCAACCGTATTCGGGGTATATCGTGGAAAAATGTTGAGAGGAGAGGAGAGGAGACTGGAGAGGAGACAGTGATAAGCGGACATTTTGTGATTTCCTTTAGTCTCGAAAAAAAATAAATAAAAAAATAAAAAAATAAAAAACAAAAATAAAAACATATAGTGTGGCAGTTTAGGATACTGACGTCACCAAAACGACGTATCAACTCAAAGACGTCTCTGTGGTGCCAAAATGTCCATGTTTTAGTTTACACAAACATATTTTTAATAACAGTACACTGATGTTGTGAGACATACTGACGTCATTACTAACACGCCATCAGTAGATGACGTCATTGAACATGTAACTACGCACGTTTCGTTTCTGAATTGTTTTTTGTTTAGCAGCTTTTTTCACGAAGTATGAAGAATAGAACTGAAAAGAAAGAAAAATAAAAAATGAAAAATGAAAATTAAGGAAAGGATAAATGGAGAGAAAGTTTTGCATGAATGGTTATTAAGAATAGATGAAATTATGCAATTTTTCAGTATTCGATTCGCAATTTTTTTCCATCATTTTTTGTCAAATCTTGGAAGCTCCTTTTCGTGGTAGCTTGAAGTAATTATTGAAAACAATTAGAAAATATTAGAAAAACAAGTCACGAATGAAAGAAATTAAAACGAAACATGCCTTTACGTTGGCAAGGGCTGATGTCTAAAATAGTAAAGATCTAAATATAGTACTATGTATTATTTTTCATTTTGGTCGATAAGCCGCTGCTGCGCATGACGTCATCGTCAGCATCAATGATGTCACATAGATCAACCGCCTCAGTTGCGTCACATCGGAACGTCCTGGCGCTGCTTGAAGGTAGGAAAGGGTGGGAACTGGCCCTGCTGGGGATTTAAATCTGCGCACAATCAGAATTTTGATGCCCAGATAATTTTTACGCGCCATGTTTTTGGTCGGTACGACTTTTTTGTGCGTGTATTTTAATCCATAACATGTTTTCTACAAACGATAAAAGCTGAACAATGTCCATGGTGGTGAAATCAACGTCAGTGATATATTCTTACTTTAGTCTTGAAAACTATGAATGTGGTTACTACAAGTGGGCTGTCAGTGAAATACACAATCTCTAAGAACACCAGCAAGAGGTAGGGGAATTGCTTATACTGTATACGTATTGGTTGTTTTCAACCATTCCCAAGAGGATCAAAAGACAAAGAGGAATCTTTTGCTAAAATCCACCAGATGACGTAACGTGAAAACAAAGAACATATATTGCAGTCATGAACATTTTGAGGGAAATTTGGACCTCTGTACTGATCTACCATGCGAAGTGGTAGGGGTGTTGCTTATACTGATCTAAGAACATGCGTAATAGGTAAATTATTACGCATGTTCTTATACAATTTCCGAGCCCATCCCACACGGCTTACAGCCTCATCATGTATTAATAACGTCCTTTTTCCACGAGGGTTGCACTTAATAGCCAGTGGCTAACAAACCTGTGGCCATCATTCCATGATCGAATTGGAATTTAGGAGTACTGATCTAAGTATGGGCAGAACTCACAACGGACCCAGTTATCATTATTATCATCAACATCAAGTCAAGGTAAAGATAAATCATAGATTGAATAGGAATTTAGCGTTTTAGTTTTTGTTTGTCAAAGTATTATGATCATCCGGGTGGATGTAATTCTGAGGACTGTTTGATGTGACTTTAGTTTTTGTCGAGGGAGGAAAACCAGAGAACCAATAGAAAAACCATGGTATCAAGGGATGCCTAAAAAACTCTACTCATATAAAACACTTCACAAAACAAGATCAGTTTCTCAAAGGTTTGAGTTTAATTGTCTCAATGTGAAATAAGACATGCTTCAAAACTGAAAGAAAGCTTCAGGTAATGCTATACTTTAAGTATAGACATTGGGGTAAGTTTACATGTCAAAGTCTATACGAGACCATGGGGTGTGGTCAGGTTATAGACAACAGGCAAGGTGAGAGTTATAACACCTTAGAACTCACACAAGTCACACATAATATGAACAGAAGTGGTCACAAGGTACTAAATACGTGAAGGTAGGATGACCCTATTGCTAAGGTCACCCTACCTAGTGCCCCCTAGCAATAGGGAAAACCTATTTTCATGTAATAGGACATTTCATAAGGCTTGTCATAAGATTAAGGGCAGTTTTGTTCTACAATCAATAACATTTTAAGACTTTCTACAAGTATATTTTCCATCAAAATAAACACTATTGCCTTTTCCCCACGGTTGGAAAGCACCAACACTGAAAGGTACTCTCCCCAAATTTCCAGATCCTATTTTTTGTAAACCCAGAACCGACGTGGTTAAAGGGCATGAATGTCTATTTCCTGGACTCATTCAATATCTGTTTTATAACAGTTTTACACAGTTATCAAATAATAATAGGAGTAATTTTAAGCAAGCTTACAAGATATAAGCTTAAAAGCGGTTCCACAGATAATATGGGTGGTTGCTAAGAAAATATGTGGAAAAATCTGGAAAAAATATAAGAAAAAACTTAAAAAGCTAAAATGAAAAAATCTTTACAGACAATAGGCCTTTTGCAATAGATTGACACGTGATTGTTACTGGATGGCAAAAAAAACAAAAACAAAAACAACTTCCTTTATTTAAAGATTTTTGGGTTACTGGAAAACATGTCATATCCAAAACCTTTTCACAAATATTTTTTTCCTTTATAAGATACTTTCGATTTCAAGATACAAAGCAGTTTAAAGTTTGTTTACCATCCAGTACGCCTTCCCAAGGGGACCTTTGGCTGAATAAGCCAGTTCATAGTTTAAGAATCGTTTTCAGTGTGCAGGGATTTTATCTGAATTTGTCAAAGGTAAAAAATTCGGGATAAAATTGCATGTGCACTGAAAACGATTCTTAAAGAATGAACTGGCTCATTGATTTGTTATGAAAGTGATTTATCAGTACGTGACTGTTGGTTGCAAAAGACCTATTAGATATTCTTCTGGTGAACTATCAGTGGCAGAATAACAATCTGATATTAAACTGGAATATGCAAGACAGGAACTAATGCTTAATGACAGTTATACAGCATTTCATGGTTAAGAGCAATCACTCTCATGTTTGAGTATCATATCAACACTTAGATACAAGAGGAACATTAAGTAAGACCACAACAGGATGATGAAACAACAACAAAAATAAAACCAAACCATAACATATATATAAACCCAATCTAAGACACCACACCATTATTTAAACATAAAAATTAATATAACAATATTTACACTAACAGAAGTTAAATCCAAAATGAAAGAACATTAAGTAAGACCACAACAGGATGATGAAACAACAACAAAAATAAAACCAAACCATAACATATATATAAACCCAATCTAAGACACCACACCATTATTTAAACATAAAAATTAATATAACAATATTTACACTAACAGAAGTTAAATCCAAAATGAAAGAAGTAAAAAAAAAAAAAATGGAAAGCAGGAATTAGAGTACGAGTAAGATGTGTAGATTAATGGAATTAAGAAAAGAGAAAAATGGATAGAACTAAAAAAATGTGAATTTGAATGTAGACCAGAGGAATATCAATAAAGAGAATGGTAAATAATGTGTGCTACTGTATTGTTGTGAAAAACAAGAAAATAGATTTTAGAATAGTTACTTGAATAATTAATGAATGAATATCTGTCGAGGTGGTTTACTCAAGGTTCTCATTTCCACAGTAACCACTCTGTTGCCTATCATATTTCTTGATATAGATAACAGAGAAAATACACTTTTTGCTCCATATGAATACATACACTTTCACACACATTCCTTTATTTTTCTTTCACACCACACCACACCACACCACACCACACTCCACTCACCCACACACATTCTTAAGACTTTGAGTCTTTCAATTTGCATAGCTGCAAATGTTCAGTTTGTTTTGATTTCTATATCAGTCGCTGAAAGGCCATGAGCTAGGGATTGCAAGCAGGGTAGCAGCAGCTTCTTTTGCTATTTAGTCTCTTTTCAGAGCTTTTGCGTGTTTATGTCTGAACTTAGAGCAAAGATTAGGAGAGAAAGAGATAAAGAGATAAAGTAAGAAAATTATTATTTTGGGGGTTAATGTGATTAATGATAAAGAAATGTCTGCATAATTGAATGAAAATGATCATTTGCAAATGTTGCAAACCACGTTTTCCAGAATGGAAAAAAGATTAATCAGCAGTAATATTGGTTCAGAAGCACACTTTTGCAGTGCCTCTTAGCAAAGGCTTGTCATTTTTCAATGTGTTTTCAATAGATATATCTAGAATTTAAGTGGTAAGGACATAAACATCATCTGTTTTTCACATCTCATATACATATATTTTTTTCAATAGGTGCTTCAGAGATCATATTCAATTATTTACTCAGAGCCAGCATGGTAAACCCTGCTGCACAAATACTTCCAACTGCAAATAAACCTTTCCATAGGCTTGGAGACGACTCTGAGAAATACTTGACAAAGCCATCCTGTGATAAAAATATCATTATTAATGAAGTGCTTTAAAGTTAATCAGGTTTGACCTGGGGTTAATATCTGTCTGCGTAATTTGCATTAGTCATAACAAAATGCAATTCAGCATTTTTCAATATTTTCAATAAAAAAACCCCATAATTTTGTCTTAGATTTGAATATGTCATTGATGCAGTGAAGTTTTACTGCAATAAATAAATAAAATAATTACAACTCACAACTACTGAGTTTGTGTAATATTGAAAATAGCCACAATAGATTGAAATAAACAAGTAAATTGAAGGAACAAAAAATTCACAATTCATGCACATCTGCAGGTTCTTGCGCATTGTTGATATCTATATCTATTATATATCTATATATATATAATATATATATGGATTTCAATGATAATCAATAGTAAAAAGCACAATTTATATTTTTGTAAGTAAAGCTGATCAAGCAAAATTAGAAATGAAAAATATTCGTTTTCTGACCTTTTTAAATTTAACAAATAGACATCAGTTTTTAATGTGTCTGTCCTCTTATTGACGATAAATTGCATCATCAAATTGTCAAAGTAGTGTGGATCCACAAGGCTTAGCCAAGTGGATCCACATACTACTTTGACAATGTGATGACGAAATTTATCGTCAATAAAAGGACAGAAGCAAAAAAAACAACTGATGTCTATTTGTTTTCTACAATAACAAAAACGATAAAACTTCTCATTTTTAGCGATCAAAACAACCAACGGAAAGAGCGCGCGCTCATTGACGTCAGCTTTATCTGTCTGTCCTCTTATTGATGACAAAAAATATCCAATCGGCGTGAGAGAAATTAGGAAGTTATTGTAAAATGAATTTTTGAATGCAACAATCATAGGTATTTGTTTCTACCCAAAATATTGAATGAATTTCATTTTAGAAGTGCAAAGAAAATGAAACTTAATTCTTGTTTCAGTGGGATATCACAATAGTTACTAAATATCAAGAGACAAGAGGAATGGAATGAGAAAGAAATATCAGAGGAAAAGATCCTCATCACCAAAGAATACTGTTAACAAAAAATATCTTTGCCATTTGGCTGCCGTCTGCCTTAATTCCTGGACATTGACAGAGTTATGACTTTTGATGATCATACGTACTGTCAATAGCAAAAGCTACTTTTGTGGGATTAATGAAATATCTTTTTAAATGAGAGAGTTCATTTTGAACCAGTCGAGACAGAAAGTCTAGCTTTTGAAGTGTTTGAATTTAAGCTAATGAAATTATGGACAATATCAGGCGATGTCTATGGTGCGTTTTGAAATTCATGTTTAAGAGTAACTGAAAATTAGCATAACACTGAATTTCACTAAGCAAAGAACAATATAATTGATGTATTAGAACTTATTGATTGGTGGGCTTACTGTACAGTCAGAAACATTCCTAAAAACACGAGTCACAAGCGAAATAGAATATTCAATTTGATTTCTAGAAACAACTGGTTACTTTTTAATATTTCATTTTTCCACTTTTTCTATTTTTCTTGGAATTGAAGTAAGCAAATATAAAAAGAATAAGTAATTTTTCTTTGGGATAAGTTTTCTTTCAAAAGGATATTTTTTAATTCAAAAAGATATTGCATAAAGTTAAATAACAAGAAACACAGTAAGACATCTTGTTTTTCAAAAAATACTGAAAAAGTAAGTAAACAAAATATGCAAAACAGTAACAAACAAATAAAATTAAAAAAAAATAAAAAAATTCTTCAATAATTTTTTCAGCAAATAATCAAGTAAATTTGGGTGATAATATTACGTATTTAAAATTTGAAGCTAATCTACACCTCAAAAAAAATTAAGGCAATATTTTTTATAACTTTATCATATCAGTTGCAGTGAGGTAAAGAACTAAAATATCTATAWAAAAAAAAAGAAAAAAAAATATTTGGAGTTGGAGGCCTGAAGACGGGATAAAATTGATAGGATTTTATTCTTACCCATCCACCGTTGTCTATAATCCATGAAAGAAGGTGATCTGCGATAAATTGTGGAATCCAAACGGCAACATGAGAGACCATGTCGGGTCTTTCATTATCCACGAAGTGATGAGCTACGACTCCTCCAAATGTGAACAACGCAACAATCCTTCCCCAGTTGATTCCCGTTTGGAAAATCTCCTTCGCAACGCTAAAAAACGTCGAGCGAGCCGTCGCCGGTGTAAAATCAAGCTTTGCGCAAGCAGTTTCGAACAAGTCCGGGTATTCTGCCTCCATGTGTGAAGCAAGTGAACGAAGTTTACTTTCTGCTGTTGAAGGAGTTTGAGGGATCAGAAAATGTCGAGGTAAACCAACCAACTGACTCTGGTCGAATTTACTCCTTAAACGAAACGACACATAGTCAAAAATAAGAGAGAGAGACTCCTGAAGGATGTCCTTTTCGCTAGAAGACAAGGCAGAAGTGTCCAGAGAAGGAGAAAAGTCCTCAAGATGCAAAGCAGCTGTCGCACCGGCCATTATTACGTTTCGAGGGAATTTTTGTGTTTACTGTTTCTTCGCTTTTTTCAAACTGAGTCGTTTCAATCTTTCGTCAAGAGATCAAATGTTTTGCTGGTCTTCGATGGTGTAGTGTTAATCTTTGAGCTCTATGGAGTAAAAAAATCAAAGAATTAGCTTCAAATATAGAGTAAAATCAAATGATAACACTGTTGAATTTTCACTACAATCAGTTCACTATGGCACGCAATGGCGACTCCAGTCAGKTACTACCGAAACCAAACTACTTACGATTCTTCTGTCTGTTGTCACGAAGGATTTAAAATTCTTAACATGAAGGGTTTAGGAATGTCTTGAAAGCTTTGCAGGGCGAGATTCTACGAGAAAAGATAGAGCAAGGGCAGCGCGAGAGAGGAAAATTCGATCACTGATTTTAACGTCTGCTAACGGCGAAAAGACCCAGCAATGGCGTATAGTGAAAGAGGAAGCGAGCCTTTGATGTTAGGCGCGCGCGCTCTGATTGGCCCATTCATCCACTAGTAGACAGAACCTCTTATCTTACCACATAAAGTCATCGACTAATAGGAGAATACGCTACTACTGAATAATGATGAAATATCCTAGGTAGTTTTCCCAAATTCATCACTAGTAATCAATGGCGTCAAAATTTCATTCACAGATTTACGTTCATGGGTATTAAAATTTGGTAACAACTACTACGCGTATTTCATTTTCTACATTTTCAGTATTTTAATGGTAAAACTGAATACAAGACAAAAACCGAAAGCGAAAGTACAATTCGTAAGGTTAGATGTTTGCAAAAACATTATATATTTTTTTGAAACAAATAAAAAGAATATTGACTGTAATATTTTATTCATTCATCTGATTGTGAAGCTGTGAATGGATTTTTTTTTTACTAAAAATAATGAATATTCCTACATCATTTTAGTCAGTGTAAATTTTGCGCTGTCATTGTTTTTGGATTAGTCAAAAAATGTATGTTTTTACATAAATGGATTGACAGCTGTGCTTTTAATATTTTCCGCGATGAATAAATCATGAGGAATGACGGGGAAATTCAGCGTGGTTGCAACGTGGTGTGTTTAGGGGATATTTATTCACGTGAGCACATTGTGGTAATGCATCATCGACATTTTTATCCGCCTTCTGATTGGGTCCAAAGACAATAGCCTAAGATCTATTATGTGTACGTCACAGAACGTCACACGATGAAACCGCAAGGCTGTTTCTAAGCCAATCAGAATGCTCGATTCATGTCAACATGGCCTTGACTCTTCTCAAACTCTTTTGAACATCAATACGCAGATTTATTTTTTAGCGGGAATTTTTTGTTTTGGACGCAAGGCTGAGGTGTTCAAGAAGCAAGATCGTTCCTTACCCTTTTAAAGTTTGAGGAATATGATTCAATCATAGCCAAGAACCAAGAGGAATTTAGACGGCTAATATCAAAGGTGATTTAWGTATTTTTTAAAATGTTTCTTCCTGCGGAGGAAAAAATCTTAAGTAATGTGATMTTTGGATCGAAAACAGCAACAAGTAGTAGCTTATGGGATTCATCGCTGCTTATCTTYGAACAAAATCGAAAATAATTTAGTGAAATTTTCGTCGTGCCTTTGATTATCATTGATTTTTTTGGGGAAATCTTTTTAGGATCATGGTTTTTGGGTTGTTTATTTTCGATCTTGTTTCATAACAATCGAAAATGGCTGACATCGGGCAAGCTTATTCAAGCATGGCTCAAACTCTCGCCCATGACTCTCCCAAAAAAATATCGAATGTCACAACTTTAAGATTTTTAAATAACTGATCGTTGGGGGAAAATGTTCCTAAATTAAAGATAAATATTTGAATTGTTTTGACTGTAATATTTCTTTATTTTTTTAATCTTCTAGGATATTGTTGAAAATAAGAATCGTGGTTGAATAATCTATAAACAATGGCAATGGGGCCAACGTCATCCGAAAGCCCAAACCTTCCCAAAACGAATAGCGCTTCAGAAAATTGTCACAAAAAGATTACAAGTCAAGATGCTCAGAATTGTCGAGCTGTAGGGAGAATGTTGGCCATGATTGGAGATCAAGTTRATCAGTGTGTATCACTACAGCAAAGTGCGAAGGACTGCGCTATGCAGGAGCTCAAACCCATGGCAATAAAATTACAATCTGCCGGAGCTCCAAGTAGATAAAAGACTTTGATGACGGCCGCCTAAAGGTTTATGTATATATTGTGAAAATGTAATACTGAAATAAGACGAACAAATAGCGATATTTGGTTCATTCAAGCTCAAGATTACTTGATTATTATCAGGTCTCCTGGCTGCATTTTTTCTATTTTCAGAGGAACAAAACGATTTTAAGATAAAAAAAATCCTAAAAAACTTGACCTAAAATAAGTAAGGTCTATCTAAAGATTGACATTATGTAAAATATGCACCATCAGCTGATGCATTGACAGTTTTTTTAACTGTCGTTTCCATTGGTTTCCATTGTTCTTGCTATCAGAACCGGAACAGTTCAAATGGTAGGCCCAAGAAAAACAACATCGAGGACAAAGACCTTTGTTTTACAATGAATGAAGTCGAACTTTGCGCTTGAGTAAGCCTTTCATTGTKAAGATTTATTGTTAGAAACTCTTGTAAATAGGTTCAAAGTCGACTTCATTGTACAGTATAAAGATTATTATTATTGTACATAGAATTATCAGACTTATTTGCTTGCTATTAATACTGAATATTAAATTAAAGAATAATAAAAAAAAGTGTCACACTGACTCTTAATGGAAGGGGCGCATTACGCCGCAATATTTTATATTCATTTGCATTTATTTTACTCTTTTCTTCCCAAAGAAGCATTCAAGAGGTGGATGAACAAACATATTTATATATTTTGAATGATCAGATGGTTGTTTATCGTCATTTTGATTAGATTTGAACGTCACTAGAAGAACTGCCACAGCCTATTGATCGAAGATAGGTTCGGGCCTATCTATTGTGGCAACACCAGGCGTTAAAACGTCCAAAGGTCAATGTCTCTCGACTGAATAAAAATCTTAGCTTAGCAAAAACGAAATTCCGATAACCATTATTGAGACTTACCATTTAATATTCTATTCTACGCTTTAGTGAATGCCTTACGAATGAACTCAATTTGAGTTAATAGTTGTAAAAAGAGATGTGATTTTAGGAAACGTTTGCCATACGTTCAGTGAATCGGGAATTGAATTGAATTAATTATCATAAACTCATAATTGTTTTTCAATTCTTCTGCTAGTCTTTGAACATGCTTGCCCTAAACAGCCAAAATACAAATACAATMATGTTTTTGTACAACTCCTTGGTAACTGGAGCAAGACATTTTTAGAAACATGCTTCAGATTTTGGCACGTTTTAGAGTACGACTTGTTTTCTTTGCCAAGTCTTCTTCAGRAAACAAAAACAAATTAATGATGTAAAGTGAACAGATAATTCTGAGCTAATCTGTCTTTAAAGTGAACGGTATTCTTTCTAATAGCRGATAAAGGGCGCCGGTTTTGGCGCCTTTTCGGTGCTGTGCAAACCKCCCCTTAAAAATTAATGTCAGCATTTTTTTTTCAGTTAGGGACCAAGATGTTCATTTGCCTGTGTATTAAACCTACCCCCTCCCCTCCCCATAGAATACGAAATAATCCATTTACAAATAACTCATTATCGATATATACGATTTCAGTTTATCAACTTCCCTTAGCTTCATCATATATATAAAAAAGAGGAAAATTTAAAATCAACGGGTTATTAGTAATAACATATATTAGTATTGGTCCGGCGGAGTTGCTAAGGAACTGAAAGAAAGCTAYATTGACTATCTTAGAATACCGACAAATGCTTATGTTTAATAAAAAGGAATCGCTCCGCCTTGGCGTCAAATTGGCGTTAAATCCACTCATTACCTCAAGGGGCTTGATAGATTTGTGATTCGTAGAATAATAACGGACGCATGCGCAAATGGAAACCCAACCTTGTCTTTGACCCGTTGGGTGCAACGACGCATGCCCGAATGATCAACAATATATCCACGCCTAAAACATGTGACTTTATATTAATACTATGCTRAGCTTTGCAGGGTGATACAACTAACTTTAAAAGAAATATATTAATTCCTATATATTGAATAAAGAATGACATTTATAATAACCAGCTGATTTGCGGCCAAAACGTGAATCAGATTAGTGAGTTAGTGGTAAGCTGACATGACCCTGATCGACTACCCGTATGTCAGTGAGATCAAGCCGTGCMTATATATTTGAGGTTTGGATTTTAAACAAAACAGCAAGTCTGTTTTTAAACAAGTCTTTGTGATAAATGTTTGACCTGTGTTTTGTTTTGAAAGCCATCACTGTACAATGACACTGTGTGGCTAGATCGTGCCCAGACCTCTCTATGCCGAACTAAGAACACAAAATACTCTTGTTTTGAATTTCTGTAGTAGTGTTAGTTAGCCTTGTTTGCGTATGACAGTTATTTTCATATTCGTGTGCTCTAGTGTAGGTCCAAGAAGTTTCAAAGTGYTTGTATTGTTGAATTTGTACATCCTTTACTTAACTGAGGATATTTTAACCCTGTATAAACCTGGTATAAACCAGTCTGTTATCGAGGAACACAGCGGTGTTATGACTACAAAAGCCGGCTATTGTGTGCTAGCCTGCAAAGCATTGTGGATATACTTTTGAAAAAACACGCCATGCTGAGGAATTCTGATCGTAAAATCAAACAAATGATTTCTGGCACAAGTGCTCTAAAATATAAATTAAGCTAGAGTTTTATCTTTTTGTAAGCGCAGTTGRTCTCCTTCTCAATTTCTGCCTACGCCATACCTCGTTTTTCACGGCAAAAACAGCAGATACCTCATATAAAATAAATTACATAAAGGTTGTTTATCTCTTTTTCTTTTTATAAAACGTGGCTCCTGTGGTCATATGATTCATTTATTAAATTCGAAAGGAAAAATTRTCTATGGAAGGCATTTGTATTCGGCAGAGTGAATGAAAGCTAAATTGAATTGACCTCGYGAAAGCCTTGAAAGCATGACTGACATCGTCTTCCGGGAAGGTTCAATCTTCCTCAAAACAGGAAGCAATCTAACATATTTTGAATTGAAAATCAGGCGAATATACCAAAAACAATTCAAGTTCGATTAAGCTTTAGAAGGAGGGATATTCCTCTCAAAGTCCTTGYCGTTTTTGTGGATGATATTCACCAAAATACGCTCGTTTCAATGACTGAAATTCATCAATGAAACGATCAACAACTCTAAGTTCCTACCACGAGAAAACAATTTTTTCAGTGTTTTTGTATTTTTTTTCCCCTGGTCACTTTCATATAGAAAGTGTATATTTGAAGAAAATATTTTGTAAACTTACCTTTAGAAAGTAAAACGGCGTTTCTCCTTACTTYCTTGCTTTCTTTTCAAGTTACCAACTGTTTTATGTTCTGTTAAATCTATTCACAGTGAGCGCGTTTCAAAGCCACACTCACTTTCCAGAGGCTACTAGTCAATGAAAGAGTAGCCCACCTCTAAAGCAGCACGTATAAATTTGGAAGTAATTAAAAATTCTAACAAATTGCGGAGGTTGATATAGACGATTCTAAATGAAGCTGATTGGCCGAATGTTTGGACTTCAATTTTGTTGCCTTWAACCGGTCACCTTGAAAAGCCTTCTCGAAGAATATTACCCACGCACTGACTATCACATGTGAACACAACTGTCAATCAAAACCCGACCCTGGGAAACACCTATATTAGATGAATGAAGATCACTTTAGAATCTATTATATTCTTGTGAAAGTAAAAATAAAATATAGAAATATTTATTGGAAGTTTTCCATATTATCCAGTTTCGTCCATGAACGATTCACTTTCTATTTTTTAGTGATAAGTTGTAATCAGTCTATTTTCAGTAAGTATTTTATATAAGAAAATTGCTTTTTGTTCACAATTTAAATATATTTTATAAATCCTTTTAGGTACATTTTCAGCGCAGCAGACATTTTCGTTTCTTTCGTTTGCAGAATTGATAGTATACATTTACAAACTCGTTAAACTTATTGACAATAAGTTTTAAATTTAATTTTGATAACCCCTTTGGCCATGCCAAACAAATGTGCCAAATTGACCCATTTGGTAACGAAAATCCATTTGATGAACAGAAATATTTGATAAAGCTCACAGCTTTATGAGATTATGGCGTCGAATCGTGTGCAAATTTATGTATGATGCAGTACGATAATAGAATGAACAATAAAGGCCGTGCGTCTTTTTTTATTTGACTGGAAAACTTGACTAGCCGCACATTTTACGGTATACCGTAACATTGAAATGGCTTCCCATTGTTTCCGTGCGGTTCGCCCAACAGTTACTTATATGGCAAAATCAGTAGGTGATCAGTTMGGTTTGGTGACGTTTTCAACTTTGGAACATATGCTTTACTGTGGGATTACATTACTTTGTTGTTTAACTGATTTCATGTGATTTCAGTCGTCTAGTCGTGCAGTCCTCAGTGCTATAAACAAAAACAGAAAAAAATCTGATGACGTTAACAAATAGTTAAATCTGACTTCGACTTTGACTCATCAGCTGTGCCCAGTTTGCATGGTTCAGGGTTCAACTGACGAGCCAAGAAGTTGCATTGTATTGGTTCATCAGATAAACCTGATTGTTTTTTGATGGAAGTTTTATTTGGCTCATCATTTCTGATCATCTTTCCCTCCCCAAAGGGAATATATTCCATTGCACTTTTGACCATCTGCGAGATCAGTCGTAAACAAAAGCCTCACACACATTTCCACTTTTAGTTTTGATATATTTTTAGCACTTTCTCGAGAATACCTTAATATTGCTTCCTAGTAGACACTCAGCCGATTTCCTTATATAGGGGAGATTTCTGGTAAACCTTTTACGAGCAAAGGACTTTTACTCTGTCTCAATTAAAACCTCCCTCTCTATTTCAGTCTACATTYATAAGTGCATGAGTATATTCCCAGCCTTAATTTTCTTGTTGTTTCCATCGCTTCCTCTAATTACTGTTTTTTGCCTGAAAATGACTTTCCTACGCTTCTATCCCTAGTAATTATGAATTAMTATGAATGAATAAATTATATCAGAAAAACGAAGAAGAAAGAAGTACAGGTATCAGAAGAAGTGGACAGAACGGCCTACGCAAACACCTGTTGAAAACTGCATGTATCCCGAGAACTAAAGAAAAATGAGCCGGGTTGTAGTGAATCTGGGAGGTATTGAAAAACCTTCACAYCATGCATCCTGCTCCCCAATTT